TATGTGGCATACTGTTTTCAGTTGCTCAAATGAAGATTAAGCAATTATTGCCTTACGAATAACTGGGTCATGGAGTTCTGAAAACTAGGGGACTGTAGGTGTGAAGATCACTGCTTTTTAAAATCCTTGAATATAACGTAAATGGGGACCGGAATCGAGGGTTTACATACAACCAAGAGTTAAATTCTCCTCCGGTTGCGTAGGGTGACAGGACTTATAGTTACTAATAGTGTCTAAAACTAGTCTAAACTACTATAGACAGCCAGCTACAGTGATTTTCAAGTGTAACAAAGGAAAGCTGATAAGCTGGGGGGAGTGATGCCCAATGAAAGTAGTGAATAGGTCGCAGAAGCCCTGAGAACGGTAATGAAGGTGATTATGCTTCATTAAATCCATTTTAATTGAGGCACACTTTGGTTTAATTGGAGCAAGTAAAAATGCAAAATGGTGTGAATAAGTAAATGGACCATGTGGAGTGGAGTTGAAGGAAAGAGGTACAGAGCTAGAATCAAGGAGGTGGAGAGGAAAGATGCTACAGCGATTGAATAGAAAATTGATAATGAGGATTGCCTTCATTTTACACAAGGTCTCTTTGTTGCTCCAACCAAGTTGCGAAAGCTAGGTAAAACCAGCAATAAGAAATTGCCTAGCTATGGGATTAAAAGTCACCGTGAGATCAAGCCAACCAGTCTAAATGATGTGGTTTCCAGATTGGCACCAACCCTGAATCCTGTTGAAAATTGGAATATAATAGTGAATATATCATAGGTCCTTTTTGATTCAGAAAACCTGATGATTGTGAAAACAAAATCAAATTTCAACCCTCTGACAATTTTCGGAAAGAAGCGAAGTAGTTAGTGTAAATGGAAATGATATCTAGTCATGGCAGATCGAGAACCTAAAAAATGGAGAAGATTAACGAGGATGTGCAGAACATTAAAAGGAATTACCAAATAGCCTTTAAAGCAGATAAGTGATGAGATAACAATACTAATAAGTATAAAGAGGCACAAAGGAAAAGAAGAGCATACTAGAATATTACTATTGAGGTAAAGGAAGGAAGGAAGGACTTAACAGAAGAACAATGGCGAGCTGAGCTAAATGCATAAAAACCAAGAGATAACGCAAGACTAGTGACAGCCTGTGAATTACAGAAGATAAACAGAGGAGAGGGATAGCTGACACCGATAGTCAGGTAAGGAATGGAGCAATGCACAAGCTGGCGAAATGTATATATTTAAAGTTCAATAAGATAAACGATGGACTATCAAATACTGTGATGAATTCATGTGGGTTCACATAAAAGCTCATTAACCGTCTGCCATGATGTTTTCTCGGGTGGTCTACAGTTTCACTCTACCAAGTTTGCTCTATCCTTAAAGCAATGGATCGGTCGATTACCTCTCTGTGAATACGAATGAACTCGCGGGGATCCTCCTTAGCCCAGGGTGGCAAAACGACATCAGAGACGGCAGTTCCGTTCTGCTTCGTGCCCAGGTCGAATTGGTTCGCGTTTACCAGGAAGTCGGGTAAATAGAAGAACTCAGGTATCAACTCGCGCACATCCGCCATGTTCTGTCGACTAGCGCTCAGCCAGGCGTCGCCAACACTGTGGAACATCCGGTCGGCCAGATCGAAATGACCACCCTGGACACAGGTTAAATGATGAAGGCAGATGGACGTGTTAAAATGCATAAAGACCACTGGATTAAGAAAAATCTACGTGAATTCATAGAAAAAAGAAAAGTATAAATAATAGGATGGATTATGATGTAATATTGAGTGTATAAATCAGGTAAAAAAAGGTTATATCATAATAAATAAAGCAATCTTTGGAGTGTGCATATAGTAAAAAGAAACATGCTTATAA